TCATCAAAATAATGGCATATTATCAGAATTTCAATTTGTTTATACACATACCGGTACCTTTAGAAAGCAAATCTTGATGAAAATACTGAATGAGAAAAAAAAAATCATTCACAAATATTTGGTTTCTGTTTAGATCATATACATTTTTTTTCCTTTTCACAATGCAATGTTTGGGAAAAAAAATAAAGGCAAATTGATAGGCAATGGCAAACAGATGTTTAACTTTGTGAAAATGTAATTGTATAGACGAAAAGAAATGGTGGGATATTTATTTGTATCAATAGGAGTATTATATAGGATTCATTCTAGTTCTTGACATTACTGTTAGATTTTTTTCGGTTATGTAACTAGCACAGATTTAATCTCTTATAGAGATGTACTCAGAGCATAGCTACGTAGGCTCTCCCTATGTAACATTAGTTACATAATGCTGCATAGGGAGAACTTACATAGCTATGCCCTGAGTACATCTCGGTCAAATTGATGTTAAATAATTCCATGTTACTCTTCATTTAAAGCTGCCATTGAGTTGTCAATTCCTTTCAGTCACAAATGTTAATGGAAATGCCGCAACTCGGGTCTATATATGATGCTTGGTTTTTCATCTGTTCTCTAGGCGATTGGCAGGCTGAATTGAGAACTAAAACAGTTGTAGAAATAATCTAAACCTGATAAATGTCTGATATAGCCTGAAAATTAAATGTGAGGAATGTCTCCCAAATGGTCATAGTGCTGTTCATATTTAACAGGCCAACTCCAGTCATAACTCATCCTCCATTTGGACTGTGTATCAATGGGTTTTTCCCACATCCTTCCCCTCATTATAAAGTAATCTATTCCTTCTTCCACTGATCAGTTATGTGATCTGTTTGGTGGGTTAGCTGAAATCTTCAGATATGCCCTGTGGGGATTCTAGAGCTATATTTCTGTTTGGTTATGTGTGGTCACATATGGTTATGTGTGGTCACATATGAAACACTCGATACGACCACCACATATGTACAGAATTGGAGGGGCACTGGAATTCAACATTAGATGCAAAATAATACCAACCAGTCAGATTTTTTTTTCATATCCACCATTGTATTCTTTGTAATAAGCAATTTTTTTGAGCCTCATCCACTACATTTCACAGAACATTGGCTTACAAAAGTGCTATTTCTGAGCATTTCATCAAAGCAATTGTAAACCATAAAGGAGGTCAGAAATACAGTAACATAAGAGGGAAGTGAAGGAGGGAAAGGTCTATAAAGGCACCCAAGCTTATCTAAACATTCCAAATCATGGTTTGATAATCAGTCTGAATGACTCTTCTAACTGGGGTGTTCAGATGAAAAGCTAAATTCTGCAGGGACTTTAGCACAGAGAAAGGCAATGCAAGGCTGAAAACACTACGGTATACACATTCCGTTGAGTCACAGTGTACTACAACTTCACAACTCCATCCTATTTGATGGCTCACCACCAGTCCTCTTTTAGGATGACAGAAGGCTTCACTAATTTTGGGGGTCATCCTTAAAGATGTTTCAGTCAATCAATAGCAATAGTAGCATTGTTCAGCTGTCTCAAGAAATATATTTAACTGCCTTCCTGGTAGAGACACCAAAGTCGTTTTATAAAATATTATACAACACCAGCTACAACCATGACAATATTTTTAGCAATCTCCTGGGCATATCTAAGATGAAAGCAAAAGAAAAGTATTTCCTCTACTGACTTCTTGTCCATTAACGATCACCTTATTTGTTTTTGACCGGAAGGAAAAGCTTGTTATTAACAGCTAGAATCTATGCATTATTATTGAGTTCCACTAGAGGGAGCAAATGCTCCTTAGTTACATTTAACTTAGCCTACTCTATCTTCTTAGCTAAGTGCTAACAAATTTTGGGAAATTTCAGTATCCTTGTCTTTTTCCCCAGGGTTCTCTATCCTTACACCAGGGGTGGGTTTCTACTGGTTCTGTCCACCTCTGTAGAACTGGTAGCTCTGAAGAGCAGCAGACAAAGAACCGGTTCTATGTCTGCTGATGTTTTTGCCCACCCGCCCATCCGGGGTCTTACCTGATCTTTATTTCCTGATTTTTCAACTTCAGCTGCTGAACGAGGCACAGCTGCAGTTAAAAAAGCAGGAAAAGAGGGCTGTTTCAAAGGCTGCTTCTCTGCACGCAGCGTGCTGATGATGATTTACAGGCGCGCAACTCATAGTGTGCAGGGAAGCTCGTAAATCCCAAACCGGTAGTTAAACTTGTCGTATCCCACCCCTGCCTTACACCTAGTTAGGTTTCCTCTGTTTGGAAAATAAGGCTAATGGAAAGTGAGAAAGACCTTTTAAGGGAATGCCATTCCACTAAATCACTGAAGAAAATATCTATCCAAACTTTAGGCTAATATAAGGTATGAGGGTGAAGGTTTGTTCTCTGAGCTTGTGGGTTGGTTTCCAAATGTTCAACGCCAACTCACAAGCTCAGAGAACAAATCTTCATCCGCATCCTAGATACAGATATTCACCACTATTGTTAATATAAGGTATGGTTAGTGGCTACTTCAACTTGCTGTTATCAACAGATCAATTTAACAGCCAGTGTCTGATCTGAATTCATCAGTTTGTTTGTTTGTGTCTAATGAAGGAAAGTAAAGGCTATGGTTTTCCCAGTTGTGATGTATGGCTGTGAAAGCTGGACCATAAGGAAGGCTGAGCACCAAAGAATTGAGGCCTTTGAACTATGGTGCTGGAGAAGACTCCTGCGAGTCCCTTGGACAGCAAGGTGATCAAACCGGTCAGTCCTAGAGGAGATCAACCCTGACTGCTCTTTAGAAGGCCAGATGCTGAAGATGAAACTCAAATATTTTGGCCACCTAATCAGAAGGAAGGACTCACTGGAGAAGAGCCTAATGCTGGGAAAGATTGAGGGCAAAAGAAGAAAGGGATGACAGAGAATGAGGTGGCTGGATGGAGTCACTGAAGCAGTAGGCATGAGCTTAAATGGAGTCCGGGAGATGGTAGAGGACAGGAAGGCCTGGAGGAGCGTTGTCCATGGGGTCACGATGGGTCGGACAGGGAGAAGCAGCCAGATTTTAGGCATGAAATAAAAAAGTTGCACCACTGGTTTCCAAACAGCAGCTCTGGGAAATCTACATAGTTATATTATTATTTTAAATAGTTCTAAAATATGATGTAGTTTTGGTTTGTCCAATACATTTGAACAGATCAGTTAAAGACTTAGTAATCTTTTTCCATCTTTAGATCCTATTCTAAACATTCTAAAGTACCCAGTGGGACTTCATTTTAACCAGAGCAACTTGTGACAGATGAACCTGGAATACAATACGGTAAAGGATTAACTGAAGATTAATCTCCATGTTGGCATTTGCAAAGAGAGAGGGATACCGAGATAGAAATCTAGAGCAGCCTAGCAGACTTATTTATGCAGCTTCTTTTTATGGTTTTTTCTTTTCAGCCCTTCCAGATTCACAGCATCTGTGATTTAGATACAGAAAAGGAATTTGGGGGAGGGTGAGGAACTAAGCTGTTTCTTCATCTGCCCATGATGATTCTGATCCTAGTCAGAATCCTAGAATTATTTTAAACACTAACAGTTGGAGGTGGTTATTGACAAAATAAGCTGGATACCAGCAGAAATGGTTGTTGCCTGTTTAATCAGAACAGCTCTGATTCTCCCCACCCCACACCCGCAAATGTCTGTCTGCCAACAGATCAATAGATAATTTTTTTCTTACTTGGAAGTAGCACAACTAGCTGCGTGAGAATGGGAATATTATTAACCTGCTTTTCTCCTGTTCTGCTCTGTTTTCCACTCCATTCTCCATTCTTAGATCAAATCACCTCAGAAGCTCTGTTACACCACCACATAGGGGGCGTGCATAAGCGCACCAACATGCCTACCGTCCCTGTCCTATTGTTTCTTTTATTTTTTATCTTTCTTATTTGTATCCATGTATTCATAACTATGGTTTTTTACTTATACCTATTATCTTGTAAGCAATTGACAAAAATAAATTTTAAAAAAATCTTTTTTGGACATTACTCTTGCTACTGAACTTTCCAAGAAATATCTAGGATGGTCCTTGGGGGTTATGCTATGAAACATGTCAGAGGAGCCTGAAGTGGACATGTTCTCTCCATGTGAAGGGAAGGATCAGAAATAAAGGTGATTTCGTGGAGTTGCCAGCTGCCAGATTGTAACAGGCACTATGCAAGCATCTGAGGAGAGGTCCCCAAAAGCAAATAATGTATTTTTCTCTACTTGTCATAGGCATTATATTTGCCAATAGATACCATAAAGAGATAACTCATTAATTCTCTTCAGACAATTTTCTGCCCTAGAAATTTCCTTCAACGCAGAGGAAATGGAGAGCATAGCATTTTATGTTAGAACTTAGAAGCATGATGATTTAGCCACCAAACTACAGTGAATACAGAAAACTGTCCTGTAATCAGTTTTTTGAATTTCCAAGAGTACCCAATGGTTTGGAGAACTTTCAGCACATAAAGCAAAGTGAATTTTAACCCTCATTGGCCTCCAATGAGAAATCTGAAAGAATCAAGTTGTACAGGAGTGGGATTCAAATTTTTTGGCAACCGGTTCTGTGGGTGTGGCTTAGTTGGTGGTCATGGCTTGGTGGTCATGTGACCAGGTGGACGTGGCTTGGTGGTCATGTTATTGGCCAACTCAATATCACTCACATCGTGGCACGCTTCTCCTTGCCTGGCCTCTCATGACTGTGGGGATGCTGCAACAGTCGTAAGTGTGAAAAATGGTCATAAGTCACTTTTTTCAGTGCCATTTAACTTTGAATGGTCACTCCACACAAGCAAAGTACCAGCAAACGAAGGGGAAAAAAACTCCAGAGAAGTTCCTGAGACAGGAAGTCTAGTCCTGCCAAGAATGTAATAAGGGTTAATTAAGAGGCAGTTTCTGTAAGCAACACCAGAATGTTTCCTACCTGCCTTCTTTACAGGATTAGGCCAATAATTTCTTCTAACTGCTTAGAATGTTAACAACTGGTTTTGGCGAATAGGTGCGAACTGGTAGTAACCCACCCCTGAAGTTGTAGTATCTTTCTCTTTATAGATGATTTACTCCCTAGGCTCATCACCTGATGTACCTATTTCATATACTGTATGTATTTCTTCCTGGTATTAAAGGACAGGCTGGGCATTTTTTAAAACCATGGATCTTGATAAAGGAAGTTGAGAAGAAAGCAGAGCCAGTTAATATGACAGGAATGGACAGCCAAGGAGTTACAGCAAGCTACATGGAACTCTCGTTTGAGAATAATGGTCCAACCACAATGCTCTACAATGAAAAGTGTGCCATTCACTTCCTCATGAAATTCCACTGCTATCATACTTCTGCTGTGTCTAGACGAATCAATTTGGCTTTGGCTGAATGAAATGACAAGCTGAGCCTAGAACTCCCCTGGCAATAGGGTGGGCGAGGTTCACTTTTTGTTGACCAAGGAAGAATCCGGATGTGACTCCATGATTTGATAGATGGTTTCCCGGAAATGATGGTCCTGGCTTAGCTTCTTGGCGGCTTGCTTCAGCTCTTCTATGTTTTCTGCTTCTGAGTACATGAATGATTGTGATTGCCGCACTGAAAACAAGAATGGTATACAACACTAGGAAACTTTACTTATTTGTAATCCTTACAATGGCAAAGATTTGTGCGTTCACCTTTCCTCTTATTTATGTTTTGTGGTTGATGACATTTTGCACTATGGAAAACAGTGGGGTAGGTCTGTAAAAATCAGGCCTGGGAATTAGAAAAGGTCAGTACTGTGGGAACAAGGAGTAAAATTGAGGTTATCAAACAGTTTAAGTAACTAGGTACCAATCAAAGAGGAAAAAAGATGGCAGTCAACAAAACACAGATTAATACACATAATGGAGCTATCACAATGTACCAAGGGTGCCTTTCTCAATTAGATATCCTCTAGATGTGTTGGATTATAACTCAGAATTTCTAACAGCCATGCAAGCTGTAGCCATATATGGGATTGATTTTGCCCCCAGAGATCAGCTTCATATTAAACCAATAAAGTACAGCCATAGTTTTAGAACTTTAATTAATGTGGAGAAACTTGTCAATCAATGAGTGCCTTTTTCCGACCTCAAGGTTATCATTAGGAAATCAAAGGTGATTTCTGTTTCTGCACCAAAGTGACTACAAATTATGTCTTTTTTGCAAGATAATAAAAAAAATCCCAAACCCTGAATTACCTATAAACTATAAAAGAAACAGGGACAAGTAATACTTACAACTATTCCATGAATTGCTACATCTGCTACGACGAAATCGGCAGCTTTTTATCCTGCGAGTGGCAGCCTTGTGAAGGTACACAGAATTTTTCATGATTACTGGCATCTTGGCTTCTAGTTCAGCATTCCGGATACATTCTTCAAAGAATTCTACAAGATGATCAGAGACAGGGGAAATGGAATAAATCCTAGCCTTAGACCGTTGTTCCTCAACCTAGCACTTCAATGCTTCCGTGACTTTCTAGAATTACAATAAATGACCCTATCAATAGGAATATTATGGGATTTCAAGACCCCCCCACTTATTTAACGGGCGTCAAGTTATGAATGGTCCATACAACTTTGAAGATGAAGATATGGAAATTAGCTTATGCCTTTAAAAAAAATCAATTCTGAGATTTCTGTATGTTGCTTTTTAATTGAACCATATGCAAAATATTTTTATAAAACATTATTCTTTCTCCTTTGAGACAATTTAAGGCAAAACTATTAACTGTTATTACAGCTTTATATCCTATGTTATTTTATTCGTTTAAAAATTGTGTTGACAACAAATGCTGGGGGGAGGAGAGGGACAAATGAAACATTTTTGAAAGCTTTTCTGATCTAAAGCTTGCTTACTGTTTGTTAACTGCCCCTTATGAGGTTTCTGGGATATGATCCCCATAGCAGAAAATAAGCTATTTCAGTTTTATTCTAACCTTGTGCTTATTTTACTCTCAGGATAATTTAGGTAGTGATGGAGGAGCATTTAAAGCTCAGTTGATTTTGAACTATTATGTGCCATCAAATTGGTATCAGCTCTTACAAGGCATGATGATCCAAACTCTGTCAAGGACCTTGGAGTACTCATCTCTAATGATCTAAGTGCTAGAACCCACTGTAACTACATAGCCAAGAAGGCATTAAGAGTTGTTAACCTAATCCTATGCAACTTTTTCTCTGGTAATATCACATTATTAACTAGAGCATACAAAACATTTGCTAGACCAATACTTGAATACAGCTCATCAGTCTGGAACACTCATTACGTATCTGATATTAATACAGTCCAGAAATATTTCACAAGAAGAGTTCTACACTTCTCTACTCATTGCAGTATACCTTATGCCACCAGACTTGAAATTCTAGACATAGAAAACCTAGAACTACACCGCCTTCGGTCCGATCTGAGTATAGTATATAAAATTATATATTGTAATGTCCTACCTGTCAATGAATACTTCAGTTTCAACCATAACAATACAAGAGCACACAATAGATACAAAGTCAAGGTTAATCGCACCAAACTTGATTGTAGGAAATATGACTTCAGCAACAGAGTGGTCAATGTCTGGAATACTCTACCTGACTCTGTGGTTTCTTCCCTAAACCCCAAAAACTTTAACCTTAGACTGTCTACTATTGACCTCACCCCTTTCCTAAGAGGTCTGTAGGGGACCTGCATAAGCATACCAACATGCCTACCGTCCCTGTCCTATTGTTTCTTTTTATTTCTCTTATATGTATCCATGTATTCATAACTATGTTTATACTTGTACCTGTTATCTTATAATTGCTTGACAAAATAAATAAAAATAGATAGATAGATAGATAGATAGATAGATAGATAGATAGATAGATAGATAGATAGATTTTTCTCCAGGGTGATCTGTCCCCTTCCTGGTCCCTCTGTAACTGATGAGTGCATCATTGAAAACCCAAAGGACCAAGTTGGGGAAGGTTTTCCTAAAGAATATATATATATATATTTGCTAAGGCTCTTGATGGCACATAATCAAATAATTCAAAGCTTAGTATAATTCAGAAGTTATCAAGAATGTACAGAAATGTGACAATCACTCCATAATTAAGCATGCAGGAAGAGTATTGCTGATGCATTTTTGAACAGAAACAACTTACTATCAATACTAGATGTTGATAGAAAATTATTGTTAAATAAAGTTTGAATTTTTTATAAGTATATGTCATATAACAGGTAATACCACTCCTACCTAAGTTGCCCTATTGCCCAAACCCCCCCACAATGGTTTGGAAAAGAAGAATGTTATCATTTTTGGATGGTGGTAGCAAGTTTCTAAAATATAATTATCCCCCAAATAATACCCCCCCCCCCAAATCATGCTACTTCTGACTAGATAAATCATTTCATCACACCAAGAATGCAAACTCAGGCAAGTAAAAAATGATACTTGGGGGCAAATTAAACATGGTATTAGCTGTGGCTTTATATCAGGGCTGTCAAACTCCTGGCCCATGGGCTGGAAGCATTATGCACCACCCACACCCAGTTTAGCGAAGAGGGGGAAAGTCCCAATACGTCACGTGACGCTGCCGTGATGACGTGAGTTTGGCACCCCTGTTTTATATCTTGGCTCCAATAGAAGGCTGAATTTTCCATTCCTGCCTGCTTCAATTCTAATCACACACATTCACCAATATGATCAGCAGCTTCTGTTTGGTTTTTGAAAAGATAAAGTCCTCCTTCGATTTTACTGCTGGAGAAAGTATGGACACTTTTATATAGTTTCCTTAGGAGCAATGTTTTCTTGTGGAATGAACTATGGTTTAGTCTAGTGTGTCTGAACCTCAGAAACTTTTAACACGTGTGGATTTAAACTCTTAGAATTCTTCAGCCAACATGCTCAGAGAAGGGATTCTGGAAGTTGAAGTCCACACATCTTAAAGTTGCTGGGGTTGAAAATCACTGTTCTAGTCCAAGGGGTCTCCAACCTTGGCAACTTGAAGCCTGGCGGACTTCAACTCCCTGCGCAACCATGCGGACTTCAACTCCCAGAATTTTGGGAGTTGAAGTCCGCCAGGCTTCAAGTTGCCACAGTTGGAGATCCCTGCTATAGCTTGTGGTCTCTGATTTAAGTATTGTTTGCTTAGCTTCTCAATCCAGCTATCACCTGCTGAGGTTGCATTTTTTTTTAAAAAAAAGGAGGGAGATGAAATACAAAGATACACTTCATGCTTTTTAAAAATTTGACCCTCCTTCAGGAAGTTCACCCATGATTACTTTTCCCCCTCATGGACTTTGTCAATTTATATTTTTAGACTGCCAGAAATGCTACAGCAACATTCCTGAGGCCCATTATGCAGATTCACAACTCACAGTTAGGCAAGGATTCATTGGCTAATGCTTCCAGCTGGAGGCATCTGCAAGGTGAGACTTCTTTTGAAGTGGGAGCTTTATTGTGGACTCTACAATAGAGTAGAGGCTACTCAGCAGCGATAGGGAAGGTCCACTTACTTTTCAGGTTGCTGACATCCGCTTTCATTTTTTCCTCCTTCTCTTTGTTGCGATGCTTGCAGTTTAGGCCTTGTTCAAGGCTCTGCAGGGCCTCTTCAGCCTCCTGCAAGCGTTTCTCCAGGTCCATACGCACCTTCACTTCTGCCTGAGCCAGAAGGAAAGGAGGCAGTCCCCCAAAAAATCCAGAAAAGAAAATACAACAGCAAATTGCAAACAGAAGCAAGAAGTGTGTGTGTGTGTGTGTGTGTGTGTGTGTGTGTTTTTAGAACATTTGGTACACTGCCTGGGGGTAGCTCCAGTTCCCTTCTCTTGATGTTATTTTATTTTGTGTCATTCAGCAGTAGAAGAAGGGCAAGTGAGATTGTTGGCTGACTCAATAACACAAATTGGGCCACCTTTTTTTTGTCTAGAGCAGGGGTATCAAACTCTATTTCATTGAGGGCTGCATCAGGTTTGTGTTTGACCTGGGGGGAGGGGGCTGGGGATGTGGCCAGCTCAACATCACTCATGTGATCAAATGCCACTTTTGCTAGTAGTGGCCCTCATGGGCTCCGTTTTCGGCTGCAATGGCCTCCTGCAGCCCTCTGCCAGCAAAAACGGAGCCTGTGAGGGTTGCACACGACCCGCACCAGCTCAGTTTTCACTGGTAGAGGCACCGTGGGTTGGTCCTTTGCTGTTTCCAGGCCAGCCCCACAGGCCAGATCTAAGCACCCTGTGGCCCAGATCTGGCCCCTGGGCCTCCTTGAGTTTGACATCCCTGGTCTAGAAGGACAAACCAAAAATAGTTTTGGTGAGACAGAGCTCAGTGAAAGGATGAACTAATGGGACCAGGTGTTTCATGTGGACAAATTCAAAAGGTCTCATCCTTTTTTTTTACAAAAATGGGATAAATGGTAGAGCGGGGTCACTGTTCATCTCCCTTAAGTCTGTTTCATGTAGACACTACATGACAGGAGGCTGAACTTCATTAATGAAGCCATAAGGAGTTCTGGAAACTGAAAAAGAGAGTGGGGATAACTTTAGGCCTAAGAACCACCTTCTACCATAATAGAAACTGTACTACCATACCTTGAGGTCTCTCTCAGTCTTCTGCTTCTCAGCTGTCAGCTCAGATAGGGAATTCTGTAGGGCCTGAGACTGGGAGGAATAGAACTCCCTTTCTTCTTCCAGAGCTCGGGAGCGTTCTTCATTCTCCTTCATTCTATGAAGTAGCAGAGGAAAAAGCATTCAATGATAACCTCACCTCATTTCTCTCCTTCCTGCCTTTAATTTGTAGGAGTGCCAGCCTGCAACAACACCCAGGCTGACTTTCTGCTCCAAGGGGGAACAATAGATTCCTCTTGCAAATCTCACTTGCTGTTCCTACTTTTTGTTAAAAAAATTTTTTTAACAAGAATAATGACATAAAAACAACCATAAGAAGGGCTGATGGGACAGAGGAAGAAATGAGCCAGGTCTATGGACTGCACTGTTTCTCTAAATGTGAAAAGTCAACTCCCCAATTTGTAATATTTGTGGGTTGGAAGTCTCTCCCCACTCACCTTTTCTCTGCTAAGAGTTTCTCCTTGAGCAGCTGGTGCATTTTCTCCTCAATCTGATGGAGGCTATTCTGCAGGTCCCCAGTGGCACTGGTTTGCTCCGAAGGGCTCTTTTGGGGCTGCAAGTGACTTCCATCTTCTTCCAGCCTCTCCAGCATGCTTTGTTTTTCCAGAGAGAGTTCCTGAGAGCCAACACAGACAGGTTAAGCAGTGATCATTCTTCTTCCCCTTCCCCATGACGGACTTTTCGATGGGTTACCTTTGAAAAAGGCAACTTCCACAACATTAGAGTTGTGGGATCAAAAGGATGGTTGTCATCGCCAAGCTAGCAAGGCATCTGTGCTTTAATGCAAAATTTATCAAAGAGAAACCTAGCAGATTATTTTTTATTAGAATAATAAATTCATATTGGTATCAAATAGGGAATTTTCTATCTGTCATGGAAAATTAAATGCACAGGTGCTACGCCAATAACAGGTGCCAATTGTGAAATTAGAATTGTGAAATTAGTCTATCACATTCATGAATACAGGAAAAAAAAAACCTGATAACATTTCTGAGAAAATTTGCAAAACAGAAGAAAGCTGATGTTCCTACTCCCAAGAGAACTCTTCAAAGGATCATTTCACACAGAGTACCAGACATAACAAAAATAAAGGCGACATCTTACATTCCCACATAAAGGAACAGAGAAAAAAGACTGTGCAGGCATGGCTTAATATATGTGAAAACCTGAAGTGAATAGCCAGGAGCAACTCAGCTGCTAAACTAAGCCAAATGATTTTCATACCTCAGGCAAAAATATCTCCCAAGATCTCTATCCCTGTTAGTACAATGACAGGGACAATGAAATCTCTAACCATCAGCAGCAGAACATCCCCAAACAGCAACTGCAGGCAACTTCCTCATTTGACTAAGCATCAGCTTAGCTTGGAGACGGTCCATTTGCCATTAAGAACAGGAATGGAGATTCTGTATTAATGAGCTGCATTCTTTGTTAGGATTTAGAGCTTAGAAACCAAAAACATTGAGGCCCCAAACATATAAAAAGCAAATCTGATAAACAAAATCTCAAGATGTGCCTGTTTCACTGAATAAGCCCAGTATTTCTGGCAGGTAGGAGCTCCTACTATATAAATTACTTCTTTAAGTGCCAGTGACTATGTAATTAAAGGGGCATGTAAAAGAGGAGGCTGGGGAAAAACATAAGAGTACAAAAATGTGATTGGGTGGGAGGGTGGAAGGAAGGAATTCTTAAAAAGACATGTGCTTGAAAGGTTGAAATCACCTAAGACTAACAAGGGTACTAAATGGGTCCCTAAATGGAGCGCCTAACAAGAATGCTCAGTGGATCCAGCATGCTGCACTCATTTGGGATGGAGAAATGGAATGAAAGAGGATATGGTTGACTGGAATCCTGAGCAAGCTGTGTTTGGAACCTCAGCATTTCTTTGCAGCTTTTATTTGTAATTTCAATCATTTAGTTATTTCTAAGGAGGCAGTTTACTAATCATCGAAGGCTGCCATCAGGAGAAAAATCAAACACCTACTTCCAATGTCTTCTGTAATGCTTCTGTCAGAGTTTGCAGTCCTTTCTTTTCTTCTTCTACTCCTCTGAGGGACTGGGCAGTCATTTCCAGCTCTCTGTGAAATAACCATGCAAAGGCCATTGAAAGCATATTTTTCAGTTCTGTGTTGTAATACAAGACTGAGGATGGGCATCCTTTTGATCGTGTAAGTTTTCAAAGAGGAGACATTCAGGATCACAATAGGCACGGTGGAAATAAAAATGAGGGAAATTTTATTTTATTTTATTTTTTTAGAATAATGAGGGTATACTTGAGTGCTCTATTTTTTTTAAAATGGACTCCAATTATGCTACAGTTTTAACATATTTCCTAACTCAAAAATGGCAGGAAACCACATCCCCAAAATGTTGGCATTGGAATTTTAGAGAAGTCTTAAAAAAGGAAGTCAACCATACATATTCAATCCTAGAATTTCAAGTTGTGTATCTTTGTTTTGTGACATGTCTCATATAGTTACATTGCCAACACATTTAATATGCAATATAACAGATAATACATAATATAAAGATAGAAAAACACCTTGAGAAAAAAAAATAGTTATTGAAAAATCTAAGAACTCTTACAAGGACATTGGATTTTTTTTTTTTCATTACAAGTGACCTGATTTTATGAGAGTATCAGCAGGCACCAACATGTATTGTTGGTGCTATATCTTAAAAGTGGGATAGTTTAAGATAAGAGATAGATGCAGCGTGGTATTTAGAAGAAAGTAGAAAACACAAATGTCTAGTACTTTCTGTCCTTTGCTTTCTGTCTTATCAGAAGAAGGTCTGTGTTTCTCTTTAAGTCAGAGGTCTCCAAACTTGGCAAATTTAAGACTTGTGAACTTCAACTCCCAGAATTCTCCCAGCCAGCTAATTCTGGGAATTGAAGTCCACAAGTCTTAAAGTCGCCAAGTTTGGGGACCCCTGCTTTAAGTGGAAGTACAGTATTCACAATATATAGATACACTGTCTTATATTTCTGCATTTTTGCTACTGGCAGAAATTCTCATCTCTTTCCATCTCCTGGATTTAGGCTCAGGCAAGCCATTTCTATACTCCTTCCTCCACAGAGGTTCACCATCCTATTTCTGCATTGTTTAGAACTTACCCAATCCAGTGACTGCAGCAGCAATGTGTGACCCACTATCTCCCATTAGTCAGCTGGGGTGAAAGAGGGAAAACTCTCATTGGTTCAGGATGCTTTGAGGTGAGAAGAATTAAAGATGATTAAAGTTGAGTTTTAAATTTTTGTCTGGAATGAGGAGGGAAGTTGAAATGTTGATAGTGTGGAAGTGTCTCAAAAGAACTGATTTCTCCTGAAGACGGCACTCCTTCAGAATTGTAATGTTGTACAAAATTTGGAAAATATTTCTCTCAGCCAACTCACCACTCAAGTTGTACAGATAATACTAACTAGGTTGTGAGCCATATTTAAAAATTATTACCACCAAAGCCAGCTATTATTTGGTTCTCTTGATGGCTGAGAGGCATTACCGTTTAATCTGCTCCTGTTCCACTCGAAGATCTTGTACGACTTCTTCAAACTGCTGCTTTTCTGCCTCCAATACTTGGTTGAGATGCTCCAGGGCCTTAAGAAAAAGACAATAAATGCAGAATTCAAACGACTGCAGAGTTCGCTTTCTAGTTAAAGTTTGAACATTTACACAGCTGTGTAACATGTATAACTTACAGTAAATGTTGACGCTAGTGATCAGATTTGTGAATCTGCCACATATGCATTTTTTCCCTCAGAGGTTGCCTTTTGAACAAACATTGGGAACTTTTCTAAAATAGAGTGCTTAGGAAAGCATTTTTTTTTTTAAATGATGGGGCGGTAAAGACAGCATCTACTTTAAAGTTGTGCAACCACAACTAACATTTTTCAGTCTTAAGGGGAAAAGTATGCTAAGAAAGTAGACAGGTAAAAGCACGCTCTCAGCATTGGGATGGCATAACTCCCTATCACACAGCATAATCACTAGGAGTTTAGTCTGCGATCAACCTTATGTTGTATCTGTTTGATCCACAATGAATAAATTGCTGTTTCAAAACAGTGGCTGCCTTGGGCTTCAAGGAGCAGGCTGTCCTCCCATTCCAGGATTGCCTTCATCTACCCACTACTTCCTGGGTTCCATTGTTAACAACCTGGTGGACTTTCCTATGTTTCAGAGTGCCTAACTAACAGGTAGTGGGCATGGAGAGGTATATGGAGTAAAGCATGAGAGAGTACTACTAAAGTTCCTGCCCAATGCAACATCTCCTCCACATTTGTGATCTGGGCTATCTCTGAACATGGCCCAGATGCTCCGAACGAATGCTGAAGTCATGCTCAACACTAGGCTGCTGACAGGCCACAGGGATGGAGGAGAGCATGATGTGAAGAAGCCAACAACTGCAAGCAAATTCTGTCCTCCTTGAATAGTATACAAGACAATGGCAGTGATGGCAGGGAAAGACCAAGAAGCACAGTTCTGATCTCATGGCTGGCGTCCTCCCAACTAATAAAAGCAGTCAAAAGCATAAGCACATGAAACTCTTTGTCTGCATAAGCGGCAAAAACATTGTAATATACCCAGCGGTACCCACTATTTGAATTAGACAGCAACCTGCTTAGGTGGTTGAGCTACTGAAGAAGAGCCATAGGAGGAGAAAATGGAGGTGGCAGGAAAAAGGTAGTTCTAGTGGTCACCAGAGCTGCTGCCATAATTGCAACAGGGGCTAGACTGACATCCCAAACTGTGGCAAGATATGTTGATGACTAACTACCCAGAAATACCTGTCTGATCAAATGGTGTGGTCCATCTTAACCAGGGAGTTGCACAAATAGCATAGAATCAACTGGATAATATTCTGCATGAGTCAAAAAGAGGGCTGTGGAAATATCTACAGACTGCTCACATCCTGGACATGAATTGTTTCAACTTCTACCCTCAAAACAACGTTATAGGGCATTACACACCAGAACAACTAGACACAAGGACAGTTCCCCCCCCATGCCATCACTCTGCTAAACAATTAATTCCCACAACACTGTCAAACTATTTACTAAGACTGTATTATTATTCTCATCCTTCCTATTACCTATTTCCTTTTCTATTTATGACTATAACTTTGTTGCTTTATATTTTTATTAGTTCCTAGTATTTATATTGTTTATTAGTTCCTAGTATGATTTATGTTGATTGCTTATTTAGTATTCTATGACTATTACTAAGTGTTGTATCTTATGATTCATGATGAATATATTTATGATGACTATGATTTATCACATATCTTTTATGTATACTGAGAGTTTATGCACTGAAGACAAATTCCTTGTGTAAAGAATAAAGAAAGAGTAAAGAATTACTGTAAATAGTGACAGAACCTAACTCCCTTTTCTCCTCAAATTGATCTCCTATGTAGTATTATTCTAGTATTATTCACAGGAGAACTCATTTTTTTAAATTCAAGTTTAAAAATAACAAATTTGTACTCTGGGCAAATTGTATCAAGGGAATTGGGAAAATACTGCTTTAAAAACAGGAGCAGCAAAAGACAATTTTAGCTGCCTCAGCTATGAACTGTGAATAAAAAGTGGGTTATTATCTAAATTAGGCAACAATTGGTTCCAATAATAATTCCAACACATTTAAGTTTCCTCAGGAAAAGGGATTTATGAGATAGTATAGGATTTACTTCCAGAAAGCATGGGTAGAATGGCAGGATGCTCAAGGATTGGGAATGTCCACATCCTCCCCTATCAGATATCTCAGCACTCAAGACTTCTCCACTCAACTTTTCTGCATGTTTCCTGCATGTTGGCCCCACTAGATAGTCCAAACCAGGAAATCAGCTCCATGGGAAGGCTGCAACTACTTTTACTGGGATTGTTTATTATATTATACAAGCAGAACCTTGCAAGTCTGATTGTGTTGTATCTCCTCCCTCTTCTTACACTCCAGTGAATCAGGATGGCAACTGCCTGAACCACTTCCAAATGTTGTTTTATTTCTCTGAACTTAAAAAAAAAAATCAGCACCTTTTGCCCAGGCGATATGTTTTCTCCCACATATCTCCCTCAAGGTCACTTTCCTTATTTTCTATATTGCAGGCTTGAACTACCCCTTCTCCCTCCTCACATGTGAAGCGTAGGAGGAGGGCAATGGAGCAACAGAAAGCTAAATTTCCAATTCTCTTTTGAACGAGAGCTGAAATTATATGCCAGAGTGGGAAAGGAATTATTCCCTTGTTTTATCACAAGGTCTCAACCTCAAGGGTTCATCCAGGTGTCGCTTTTATTAAGAACTAGAAATGTTGCTCTTCATAGACTTGGGACACCCTTTTCCAACTCCCTCTCTCCATTCTGACTGTTAACATTAAACATTATCAAGCTCCTACCTTTACAATAGTAACCTATTTGCAGACACTAAACCAAGGCAGGGAGGCAATATCCCTGAGTGAAAGAAAGGCAACATTAAAATGGCAATGCAAGAAAAGGTAGTTACTGACACATGTTAGTACTCCAATTTTTTCAATATGTGAAAGAATCCCTCGTCTTACAAATAGAGACATCCGGTTATTTCAAGTTGACTGGCAAATACTGTGATTGGCCAATAGCCTAATGAAAAGCCCATGATGCCCAGCCAGCATATTAAATGGGTAATGGGAATTATAGTCCAACCAATTTGGAAGACAATAGATTGGGGTAAGGGTATCTCAAGCCTGCAGTAAACTTTAGAAAGGGGAAAAAGCAAGCAGAGGCCAACTACATTGTAATTCAGTGGAACTAATGAGACAGATGATAGATATTTCAGTATGTAAGTTAAACAATTAAAATGAGAAAAAAACCTCTCTCTGTTCCCTCTGTAGACATAGCTCCTCTGTTTCTTCCATCAGTTTATCTGCAAATAGACAATGACCAATGAAAGCAATCACCATGGAAGGGATAATTGAAAATTATCAGACACAGATTACACGGATCTTGAAAAATGCAGCGTTGCTTCTTGTACAGCATAATGTGCTGATTTGAACCTTATGTGGTAGCTTCAGTAAACTTGTTTTTGATTGCATTCATAAAAAAATGATAGCAAACAATAGCTTGCCCTGCTACTAGTGGTTTTCCCTGCAGAGCAGAGCATTAGCTAAAACCAATATGCTATAATTTGCAATTCTCTCACCAGCTTCATCACCTTTATTTAACAGATGAGAGTAAAATAATAGGATGTGTGCTAAATTAGGCCAACAGTAAAACAGTGAAGAAGGCTTTGATTTATTAAGAGGTTATGACATCGATGGGAAAAGTGAGCATTAAAATAATAGTGTTCCTAGCAATAATGTGGATGTTGCCTAGAAAACAAGCGTGGTAAAATATTTGGGTACCCACCAGAATGTTTTCTATAAATTATCTATGAATATTGTCACTCTGCTTCGAGTTAAAATACAAGAGAAAATATGAAGCAAGAGGAGAGATACATATTAGGAAGCATTGATTGCACAACCTTCTAATTGATTTTTTTTTCCTACACAAGTTTTTCCCCCTGTCACATGAAGGCTTTAGTTGGAAATACGAGACTGTCTTAAATTATGGAAACCATCTGCATTCCTAAAATTCTCATTAACTTTGTCCTCCTTTTGTTTGGCCTCATTAGCTCATGCTGTTTGATTAAGGTTATTAGTTATACCAGCTTAAAGATACAAAAGAGCCAATTTCTCCCAGCAGCTCTAAAATATTGTCCTATGGAACTCACCAGAATGTCGCAATTTGATTTTCCTTCTGATTTTTAACTACAATTCCCATCATCCTTATGACTGTCATTTGTCTGGAGCTGTTGGATGTTTTAGAATAAAATCTCTGTAGGACACCAGGTTACCTATGCTTGGAGTGGACCTTACTCTATAAAAAATGGTGCATGTCTCATCTACTGAATATTTCTTCAGATACATAGTTCTCTCCCTTTCATTTCCAGTCCTTCTGGATTGACAGGGAGGCCTGCACCAGCCTTCCACTTCTCTATTATGAAATAGCAGCTCCCAGAATTCAGAGCCAGCATGGAAGGCCAGGTTAGGGAAGGCTGCTCTATAGTGAAGACCAACAACTGGAACAAAGTTACAATACTTGACCAAGATCTGGAACCCTGATTGCACAGGAGAGAGGCATAATCATTCTATGGAGAACTCAGCCTAATGTAGTTATCTCTCATGACAGATTTTAATTAAGTCACATGAGGCTAGGAGTCTTCAGATGTACATCATTACCCACTTGGCATAAAAAAACACAATGAAAATTCAGCAGAGACAACAAATCTAACAGGGTTATACCAGCATGGAATACAAAGTTAAAATGGCAGACAAGAACAGGAATTAATCAAACCATCGAATTAAACCTTTACTATGGCCAAAGATAAGGGACGTGGAGGTTCAGTGGCTAAGACGCTGAGCTTGTTGATCAGAAAGGTCAGCAGTTTGGTGGTTTGAGTCCCTAGCACCATGTAACGAAGTGAACTCCCGTTACTTATCCCAGCTTCTGCCAACCTAGCAGTTTGAAAGCATGTAAACATGCAAGTAGAAAAATAGGGACCACTTTGGTAAGAAGGTAACAGTGTTCTGTGCACCTTTGGTGTTTAGTCATGCTGGCCACATGACCACGGAGATGTCTTCAGACAGCGCTGGCTCTTTGGCCTTTGTAACGGAGATGAACACCGCCTCCTAGAGCCGGAAACGACTAGCATGTATATGGGGAATCTTTACCTTTGCCTTTATGGCCAAAGATGGGCATAAAACCATAGGGATTATATAGTGCAGATGTAAAAGAGCTTGGAAGTATTGATTGTCCTCAACTTATATCCCAAAATTTAGGTTGTTAAGCAAGGCAGATGGTTAACTGAGTTTTGCCACGTTTCTTGCTGCAGTTGCTAAGTGAATCACCTCATTTGTTACTAACATGGTTGTTAAGTCAATCTGGCTTCCTCATTGACTTTGCTGGTCAGGAGGTCACAAAAGGTGATCACATGACCCTGGACAGAGCAACCATCATAAATATATATGCCAATTGCTACACAGCTGAATTTTAATCCCATGACCATGGGGATGCTGCAATGCCAGTTGTGTGAAAAATGGTCATAAAGCCACTTTCTTCAATGCCATTGTAACTTCAAACGGTCACTAAATGAATGCTTGTAAGTCAGGGACTATCTGTACGGAGGAATCTTGGCCAGGTACTGAAGAGATGGTGATAGGAGACAGGGAGGGTTCCTTTCCATGAGCTCCCCAAAGCTGAAGCGCAGGCACCCCTGAGAAAGCCTTGTCTGTCAAGGCCATTTCCTAAACATGTGGGAAACTCCCAAAGCAGTTCTTTAAGACTCTGGTATGTTCCTGTTCTATCATCTTCCCAACTGGATAGAGGCTTGCATAACAAAAATAGGCTGCACAATGGGAGACAATGAATGTGAACTGAGTAGCTGCATTTTAGGGCCCAGAAGCACTTTGGATTCAAAGGGAAAAGGCGTTTAAATTTTGAAGGGGTTCTTACTTGGCGCCCCTGAAATCATCCCTTGAGACTGCCTGGCTGTTCTCTGTAATTGCAGAGTGATTCCAGAGACAAGCCTGTGAGGAAATCTCCAGGTACCATGAACTGCCTTTTGCCCTTGCATCTTAAGCGCTGCACTGCCCCTATTTGATACATTCATGTACAAATGATAATAATCTTTATATATCAGCTGCTGTTAGTTCCAACCTAAATATTCTTGTTTCTCTTTGGCCAGTTGTAGTCCCTGAGCTTCAAGGCTCTCAATCATGGCTTCACCCAGCTGCGCATTTCTCCAGGTCCTTTAAAAAAGGGAACAGAGAAAGAAATTTTTTAAAAAATGAAAACAGCCTTCTTTTCTCTTTCCTCCTTTTCTCTTTCTTCTTTCCTCCTTTCTTAGGTGTCAAACAAGGGTTCCCCCCTTCTTTCATGTTCTCCCACAAGACAAAGGAAAATAACTCTGAAAACAGTTGGCAGTCTTGCCTTCTTTTTGTGCTATTCAGCTGAACAGATAAAATAGGAGAAAATGAAATTAACCAGCACTATGAAGAAATATGGAACTCATTTCCCTTCAAAGAACAAAAGGGCCATAACAACAGGGTGCCTGTATAATTCATTACTTTACTTGAATTTTCTCTTTCAATATATTGGCCTGGACTTTTGCCTTTTGCTACTGAAGCTCCAAACCTTCACTGCAAATCACAATTCTCATATTTCACTGGCACTCTATTTTTGGTACTTAAGATACTTAACGGTATAAAATTGTTCAACATTGTGTGCAAACTGCTTCCATGTCTTGCGAATCTCCAAATGGAATTTAGGGATCCTAAAATACACTTGGATCAGGACTATAAGGATTTGGAGCAGGCTCCACCTTAGCTGACAGATTTATGTTGCAGGCAGGTATGAAAGTTCAAAATGGATTCCCCCCCCCCCCCATACTGAATATTGGAAGAACTCCCAATTAACTGGTGCATTGGGGTATGGTTGGCTGGCATAGATTTACTCAGTTGTGTGAGGGGGTGAGAGATATTACATTAACTCCTATTCCGTTCTCTCCCTGAGTTGAGAGTACAATAAAAAGGGAGATAGATCTTGCGTCACAGCTCTGTCACAGATGGCTAGTTGGCTCCTGCAATCCTACCAAAGCCACATTTTTCAGAATGTTCTTGACCTTCACAGTCAAGCTACCTTCCTTAACTAAACAATTGCTTAACTGTTGAAGCCATTCTTCAAAGCTATTTTAAGCTGTACCAAGCAGTAAAGATGCTCCTTAATGCTTTTGCCTTAAGCACTGGGTGGGAGAAGATGAGTAGGACAGAGCAAACCATGTCGATTGTAGAAGATAGCTAAGGACATGAGGAATTACTCCAGAGTAATTTATTATTGGCAGCCTATAGGCAGGAATCTTGCCAGACTAAAGCACTCTGTCTCTGCTCTTTGGGAAAGATGCCCCCCCTTCCTGCAAATCTGCACTACATTCCACCACAGTAAGAGATCCTCACCTATTGTTCTCTCTTGTATTCTCCATTTAAGTTCATCTAAATGTAAATTAGCCTGACCCTAAAAGTTCCTGTCAAAATGCATGGCAACCCCAATGGTAAAACTAGTCCTGTAGCAGAGACAAAAGGTGAGAGCTCCCCTCTTAACCTCCCACATTAGGACACTATAGTCTGAATTGCTTTCCCTTACAAAACTGGCAATTTGGGGAGAACAATGCTGCACTTAATGGGAGAAGTATGTGATTAGATGAATGTGCAGCCTGACCCTTGGTGTTTCATAAGCTTTACATCAGCAAAGAATTCAAAGCTGTTTTAACAATGCCTCATTGGCTGGCTATCTGGGGCCATTTACAGCGCACTGCCTTTTCGATAGGATCACTAATATTCCTCTTCTAAATTACATGCTCCATTTTTAGCTAAAGATAGATGACAGGAGTCAAGAGCCCTTGAACTGAACAGGTCCTTCTGACTCTCTTCCAGCTTGTTCAAGCCAGATATGCTTATCCATTTGACATGGAACTTTTCCCACTGTTGAAATGAGTATCATCACCCCATCCATGAAGTGTCAGAAAACCAATCAAGAACAAAATTGACTGACCCCATTGCTGATCCCTGCCTTGCTTCTATTCCCACAGTGCTAGGCACCTACTTTCCTTCCCAAATAATAGTGATAAGCCTAATTAATTCTATATGTCACGAGGATGCTTTTGGGTAGCAGCAGAATCGGGTGGGGATTCTATTTTAATACAGACACAGATGAGGATGATTTCGGCCTATCTCACACATGGGCTGGGGAAATCACATGAAAGCAAGATCTTTTGGACATAGCCAAAAAAAAGTTGTTGCAAATTTATGCTTGTGTTATAGCTGGATTGAAGTGGGAAAAAGGTTCCTAATCAAGATAATAAGTCTGAGTCAAAGGTGACATTTCAGATAGGCAGAGACGAACCCTACAGCCTAGGACACATTCACCCAGAAGTCAATCCCATTGCATTCCATGGGATCTAGGAAATGTATTTTATGTGGCTGCCTGGTGTCATATTCAGAAAAGAGGCTAATGCAGGCTCCATCCCATAGTTTCTCTTCAGAATGACATTTCTTTCCTAGCGGCCTTTTCCCACTGCTGAGTTAAAATGATATTTAGTCATTCCCTGAGTCACAATAAGACAAGGCCAGCATAACATTTGCTGTCTCTGATCTCCATTACCAATCCTTCTCCTGCCTTCACCGAATTGTTAACACTCCATTGTTGCTCAAGTGGGTTGTTCAGATATGTACTTGTGCCACTCATAGGTCATGGCATTCGCTCGCTCCTTGACTTTCTGCCATCTGTTTTCAACATCAAAAGCCAGAAGGGAAAAACTTCACTAATCAGAAACCAGAAGACTTTTACCTCAGAGCTCTGCCTAAATTCTCTTGGTTGGTTGGTTTGACCTTCTTTTTACATTATATTTGTATATTTACATTATATTATATTTAATTTTCCTAAAATTAAAATATTTGGATTTTTAAAAAGCTATTGGAAAACACAAGGGATGAAAGAATTTTAGAGAGGAGGGAATTCCTACCCATAAATGTATTAGTTCCTCTAGAATAATTGAAACTGACCAGCCCATGGACAATTTTCTTTCTTACTTGTGGGAGGGGGGACTATTGAAATTGACAACTAGAGCGGAAATAAGGATCAGCTACAAACGCAAAACCTTGTGTTCCTTGCAGAAACGGTGGAGTTCTACTACCTTCCCTCTATTATTTATTTATTTCATCCTACCTTTATTATTTTTACAAATAACACAAGATGACGAACGTATCTATGGTAATACACCTTCCTCCTCCGGTTTGCCCAACAGCAAATCCGTGAGGTGGGTTGGGCTGAGAGTGATTGGCCCAAGGTCATCCAGCTGGCTTTCATGGCTAAGGCGGGACTAGAACTCCCAGGCTTCCACTTTCTAACTAAATTCCTTAATCGCTAGACCAGAACTGGTTATCTCTGTTTGACAGAAGCCGAAAGAGAAGTTGATATCAGAAACAGAGAAGTCTTAAGAGGTAACAAATTTGAAAGGAACTGGGGAAACAAAATGCTAACAGAGAGGACAGAGACACAGACAGTAATATCTGATTCCTCCAGAAGGCAATATACTTAGCCCAAGATTAGAATAGAATAGAATAACAGAGTTGGAAGGGACCTTGGAGGTCTTCTAGTCCAACCCCTGCTCAGGCAGGAAACCCTATACCATTTCAGATAAATAGTTATCCAATCTCTTCTTAAAAACTTCCAGTGTTGGGAGCATTCATAACTTCTGGAGGCAAGTAGTTCCACTGATTAATTGTTCTGTCAGGAAATTTATCCTTAGTTCTAAGCTGCTTCTCTCCTTGATTTGTTTCCACCCATTGCTTCTTGTCCTACTCTCAGGTGCTTTGGAGCAGTGGTCGCCAACCAGTGGGCTGGGGACCACTGGTGGTCTGTGAGAAAATGTTGGTGGTCTGCAGAGAAATGTCACCCCCAAAGCACCCCCCCAAAGCAATTAATCCAGGCTGTGAGAGAATACATGGCTGTGCCACCCACATGGCCTGTGGGAACACAAGGCTTGCGTCCCTTGCATTGCAAACAACACAAGGTAGTGAGGGGAAGGAGGAAAGGGCGGAAGGGAATTTGCCCCATGCACCTCGCCTGGCCATCGGGCTGCTTCTTTCCACTTCTTTCTTCTTCTGCCTTTGGATGCACACAAAAAAGCAGCAGAATTCTTTCTCTCCCTCAAACTCCGGCAGAAATGAGTCTTTGGGACCCTGCAAGGCATCCTGTTCCAAGAGTCTGCGTCAGTGTGACAAGTCTCACAGAGACTCATTTCTGGCGGAGTTTGGGGAGAAAAAGAAAGGCTTCTGCTGCTTCTGCTGCTTTCCTTGAATGAAGCCAAAAGTCTCAGTCTCAGTCTCAGTCTCTCTCTCTCTCTCCCCACTCTGAGAATGGAGCTGGAGACAGTCCCGCAATCCCAAATAAAGAATGATTGATCGGTAGGAAAATGGGGTGGGGAATTTTCCTGCAGACTTTTTGGGGGATTTTCCCAGGGTCTCTGGTCTGCAGGATTTAAAATTGTGAGTTTGGTGGTCCCTGAGGTCCAAAAGGCTGGTGACCCCTGCTTTGGAGAATAGCTTGACTCCCTCTTCTTTGTGGCAGCCCCTGAGATATTGGAACACTAGTCCTTCTTTTCATCAAACTAGACATACCCAGTTCCAGCAAGTTGAATTGTGGAGTCCTTGATGCTCTCTGAGTTTGGTTGTTTAGAAGTTTCATTACCTGACTAGGTAACACCATCAGTGATAGTGAGGGTGGAGTTTGCTCCCAATTTATATCCAGTAGTTTGTCCTGCCAGTGTTATTGGAGGTGTGGATTTCTCCTTGACAGTTCGTTGATTAGGATAGGGTTTTTTTGCGTATTAATTGGTTCTGCTCAGAGCTATGTGAATATCATTGATTCAGTAAGCATTTACCAGGTTGGGCATCCAATCACATTCTTAAAATCAAGTCCACAGCCCTAGGTAATTCATACACAATAGCATTCTATTGATTTTGTTGGGAGAATAAAGCATATGTCTAAAAGTGATTATGTGCCACCTGGAATTTCAATAGAATTGGTCAGCCTTATATAATTATATATTTAATTAATAACCATAACAGCAGCAACAGCAGCAGTGATAAATAATATGCAGCACCCCCTGTGTATCCTGAGAGGCAGATAAAATAATGGGATCAGCAAAAACAGAGAAGCTTATTGGAAGTATTCCATGGTGAATTCTTCCAGGGTACCAATGCTTGTGGGATTGAACAGTTTATATTAACCAAAATATTTGCAAAACCAAAGAGCACTTCCAGGCACTGTTTGCACTGAGCTTTCATGTTGTCATTCTCCATTCATAATTCTCCCATCTTTTCTGTATTCTGACAAGCTATTTTAAAGAGAAAAGCTGCTACGGAAGAAGCATTCAAGCCACCATACTGCAAAATCAAAGCCTATTGACCACGAAAGCTCCAAAATAAAAGCAACGGTGACTTGGATGCAATTGAAAATCAAGCCAAGCAAAATGGGGAGACTGCATGGCACACTTACACTTTTCCAGACTCCTGAAGCATCTCCAGCCACTGGGATTGCTCATAAGCTGATTCTGCTGCTAGTACAATGTTGCCCTAAAAAAAAGCAACAACAACCCCAAATCACAAACCCCATCTTTTCTTCAAGAGAAACACACCCCATCAAGGAGGAAAACGAACAACCAAGACTAGGATAAAAAGACTATCTGCAAATGCATACATCAGTTTTACTTGCATGGCTTTCCCAGAGTAATATTGGGAATGATAAATGTTGTCAAAACAATTTGCTTTGATCCCTGGAAGGAAGTCGTGAAAGTTAACTGACTGAAAGTGATGGTCTACAAACAGATGAAAAATTTTAGGGATTTCTAATGTCACAGCTAACAATTCCCTTTACTGGCAGTTACAGTAATGTAAAACATCACAGGTACCAAATAAGCTACCAAAGAGAAATCAGATTAAGAGAATAACAGAGTCGGAAGGGACCTTGAAGGTCTTCTAGTCTAACCCCCTGCTTAAATGGGATACCCTATATCAGGGGTATCAAACTCACATTGTCATGGTGGTGTCATGTGATGTATCGGGATTTTCCCCCTCCTTCACTAAACCCTGCATGGCGCATCTGGCCCATGGGCTGCAAGTTTGACAGCCCTGCCCTATATGGAATCATTCTGGACAATGGCTGTCCAATCTCCTCTTAAAAGCCTCCAGTGATGGAGTACTGTTTTGCTGCTTAGGTGTCTCTGCTGTATGCTTCTGTTGGGCAATCTACTTCTTTACCGTCTAATTAGTAACTTAGTGCCATATTAAAATCTATTAAATGGAGCAAGAAAGAAGAAGAAAAAAGCACTTTACATGGAAGTCCTCATGAGAGATTTTCATTGCATAAGGCATATTGGATTCTTCTTTGGCTTCTACGATGCATCCACCAAGAGGTATGACACCCTGAGGAGGCACCAAAGATTTCAGACAGTTGGTTAAAATCATCATTGAGAAGTGACATGATGCAGTTAGAACTAGATAAGATTGCAAGATGGGCACCCAGAATGGTGATCCTCATAGAGCTAATGATAACAGAGAAATATACACAGGAAGTCCTCTGGCTTAAAAACAGCCTTTAGTTATGACCGGGCTGACTGTAGTATTCAAAATGACAAATTTATTTATTTATTTATCTACTTATTTACTTTAATGATATACTTCCTATCTCACTGGAGCAACTCTGGCTGAGTGGCCAACCGGCAACAAGATCTGACTTGAAAAGGCAGATGGCACATGCTCCACTCACTGCATATCAATGAATTACTGAAGCTACACAATGTCTCTATGACTGTCACAAAATAGTGCATGTATGTTGATATACTGTGCAGCCTGTTTTCAATGGTTCCTGAAAGCATTGCTTGTCTTCAACAATTCCTCAGCCGGAGAAAGAAGAATGCTGTCCTCTTCTTGTCTATTTTGAGTGACGTCATGCTCCTGTATTTTTCTAACTACATAGTAAGACTAAATAACCTGTTCCAGTTTACATACAAATTCACCTTAAGGATAGAGTTAGGAACAGAACTCTTTCTTAATCTTGGGCCTTGCTGTTCAAGGCTGACTTAGCTCACAGATACTAACACTCTCTCTCAGCTACAAAATCTCCACAATGTGAGGTACTTTGTAAAGAAAATTAGCAGGAAAAAAGGCTTATTAAAGGAAGGTGTTTCCAGACAGATCAGTTCTATTTCAGTCTGACCGGTACTGAATATTGTGAGTTTATTTTTTTCATTTGTTCCAGTGGTGGGATTCAGTTTTTTTGTATTACCGGTTCTGTGGACGTGGCTTGGTGGGCGTGGCAAGGGAAGGATACTGTAAAATCTCCAGTCAGAGGTGGGATTTGCCAGTTCTCTGAACTAAACTCTTCAACAGTGTTTGGCCACTGTTTTCCATGTATTGGTGTCCTCTAGGTTACACTATTGGAATGTATTTCCTCTTGAGCCATCCTTTAAGATTTCTTCAATGTTTCAATTAATGCCAAGTTCAGCAGATAGATCATAGGGATGAGCCACGGTGGTGTGGTGGTTAGAATGCAGTACCACAGGCTACTTCTGCAGACTGCTGGCTGCCTGCAATTTGGCAGTTCAAACCCCACCAGGCTCAGGGTTGACTTAGCCTTCCATCCTTCCGAGGTGGGTAAGGACCCAAATTGTTGGGGGCAATATGCTGACTCTGTAAACCACTTAGAGAGGGCCGTAAAGCACTGTGAAGCGGTATGTAAGTCTAAGTGCTATTGCTAATGCTATATATTTGGGCCAGTTACACTAAACGTAGCTTGTCCCCATGAGAGAAGAGAAAATCTTCAAGCATGGCATCCTATTGCTAGAATACTTTTAAGGTGGCTTATCTAGAGCTACCTGCATTTTTCCCCCAGTGCAAGTGAAGGTGTTTCTCTTTATCCAGAACCTCCAGCATGGCACAAGATGATCAAAGAGATTTTGCCTTCTATGCAAACTTTTCTTGGTTTGCTTTGTGCTTATTTCAAAACAGCCAAGTCATGAGCATTTCCCATCAGCAAAATGCTCATGATTGACAAGAGAAGAAGGAAAGGATTTCCATGGATCGGTCAGCCTCTTATAGCCTTCTGAAATGTGCCTTGCTCAAAATTTGTCATGACATACTACAGGAGAAAATTGAATTGTTAAAAAATGAAGTTATATATCCTCAACTGCAAGGGGTGAGGGGGGGAGAAGGGAAGAAGTCTTTAAAGTCTAAAGCCTGCTGTGATAATGGTATTCTATATAAAAATCTAATGGTCTGTAGTTTGTATTGGTGCTTTTACTAAAATGCCAGTTATAAAAAAAATGTTTTATTAAACAACAAACTATAACAGGTATCTAAAATAATGCTATGGAAGCAGCAGAGCAGGGGTGTCAAACTCAAATTGTCACAGCGGCGTCATGTGACGTATCGGGACTTTCCCCCCCTTCGCTAAACCGGGCAGGGGCGTGGCCAGCATGTGATGAAATCTGGCCCATAGGGCAGGGAGTTTGACAGCCCTGCAGTAGAGCATAGATCTGGATCAGCTGGTAAATCTCTTAAGTTACAAGGTGTAGATGAAAAGTACCGGTACTTTTGACTGTCAATTCATCATAAAGACAGAAAATACGCCGATGTTGCCTGTTTTCTAAATGAGACTGGTGAAAAGAAGAAAGCTTGTGGGGGCAAGGTAACAGAAGCACACCTAGAGAACTGTACATTCTGTTCCCAGGCTGAGCATATACTGTATATTTAGTGGCACCTTTTATTTAAAGGCATAAGGCATAATCACCTCCATGAATTATTACTGAGCTTCTGAATAAAAACAAAGTGAACGTCAGAAAGCCTTAAGCCAGCCCACTCTGATTCATAGCCCCACCGTTTCTGAAATGCCTAATGTTCAGGGTGTTCAGAAAAGGAGTAAAATTTCAAGAAAAAGAAGTATAGAATGGAAAAACTTTATTTACTTACAGGTAATCTTGGTTGATGACAGTAATTGGGACCGGGAACGCTGTTGCTAAATGATATAGTCATAAAATGTGATATCACATGACCATACTGACTTATCATAGCAAATTCCAGCAGTTCTAGTCCATGTTAAGTTCATGTTAAGTTCTAGTTCATGTTAAGCAATGACAACTGCAATACTATTTAGACTTATAAATCACTTCACTGTGCTTTACAGCCCTCTCTAAGCAGTCAGCATATTGCCCGCAACAATCTGAGTCCTCATTTTACCAACTTCAGAAAAATGGAAGGCTGAGTCAACCTTGAGCCGGTCAGGATTGAACTCCTGGCATTGGGAATGCAGAGTTAGCCTGCAATACTGCGTTCTAACCACTGTGCCTTTAAGCAAATCCTGCATGGTCATATGATCATCCTCTGTGACCTTGTGCTGACTTTCCCATTGATTTTGCTTGTTGGAAGCCAGCTGTGAAAGTCACAAGGCTCATATGACCATGGGATTCTGCACCCGTTATAATTGTGAGCTGGTTGCCAAGTACCCAACTTGCAATCATGTGACTGTAGGGATGCTGTGAATGGCTTCAGTTTTGAGGACAGGCTGTAAGTGTCCTTCAGTGCCATTGTAACTTTGAACAGTTGCTGAATGAATGGTCATTAACAGAGGACTATCTGTATTTATTTACTTACTGAACATAATTGTATGCTGCTCAGTTCCTAATGGCTCTGAGTTGCTTACGTCAAGCAACAAATATCATTAAAATAGAATCAATCGGTCAATCAAAACAATCACTCCAGATGGCTTCACACAATCCTGGTTGTCCTCAAATGTTTCCTGAAGTGTACAACTCCCAGGCTTTTTGGAAACTGAACAAAGAAAGGGTAATCTGGATTTCAGGGGTATTAAAAGTGCATGCTCTATTTGATTGTTTACTACCCAGGTAATCCTAAATACACAGTGTAGGTTCCTTTAAATTTTTTAAAGGTTCATTTTAAGTACCCAAATACATTTTGTGAAGCAGAAATCTAGTCTTTCTGGACTCCCTTCTAACAAGACCCTATCTGAATGTCTTTGGAGATGTTGCTAACCTTTGGATGGATATTGAAGTACCGATTATTTTCAAAGTTCTTCTTTTCACTCTCAGCATAGTAAAGCAGAAAACTTTCCTTGATGATAAAGAATCTGAAAAAGAGACATGCTGTATCTTTACATAAAATTTTAATTCTCCAAAAAGGCAATGGTAACATGGAGTTATTTGAACTCTGTGGGACGCCATCGGTTCACAATGCACCTGGCCAAGTATGAATTGGCCTTTCTGTAGGTTTAGCCTTTTTGTTATGACATCTTTTTACTATTCTATCAGTATCATTTTGAGGAAACTTAGCCTTTTGCTGAGTTTTCTACACATCCTATTTGGCACAGCAGTGATTACAGCCTGTTGATTTACATTCTTAAGCCTAAAAAAAGATAGTTGAAATTATCTTTTCACTATTTTTTCAAGTCTAAGTATTGGTATCTAATGCTGATCCCAGAAAAATTACATATATCTGTACTATCACACACTGAATCTTCAGGGGGGAAAAGTAATGTGGTACTTTTAAATATGGTATTTATTTATTAAAAATGCCTTTTATATCAGTGCCCATCAGTGCCCAGAAAATTTAGAAGCAGTTAAGAAAAACAAAAAGATATACAAATTGTCTTTGATTACTGACAGCTTTGTTTGACAACCATTTGACGTTGGGACAGTATTGTTGTTTTTTTAAAAAAAGCTTGCGACTATTCCTCACATTTATGACCTGAGTGATCACCGTTGCCATTTGTGTGTTTCTCAACAAACAGAGTAAAGAGAAAGGTAGAAGTAAACTTGCTTTGCTTAATGAGCTAAGAGGAAAGATGATGTTGTAAGCCTGTCACAGTCATGTGATGTTTCAATTAGTGACTGTAGAGCTTAGCGGTGGAATTGCTGCTCCCAATTATAGTCACTAAGTGAGGACTGTCTGTATTGGGAGAACTAGCGGCTGGGTAAAGAGGTGAATTTCTTTAAAAAGAAATGCTAAAACATATCAGTGTTGTATACTTGTGATACATGAGAAGATTCTTCACCTCATCAAATTCATCTTAGTAGTTATGGCTCAGAGAATAAATATAAATATACTCCCTTGTACTTCTCAGTGTAATGATTCACTCTAGCCATTATATATGTACAAACAAACTGAAGACATATTGTACCAAATGCATAATGAGGTTAGATTTTTTTTTTAATAAAGACGGTTTAGTTTCTCAGCAGCATTAGTTTCTCAATGCTAATGAAATATGTGAAAATAAATCTTAAAATCCACTGGCATTGTCTTTGAAGACGAAGACTAAAGCAACATTTAATTATCCAGACTCACAAAAGGAGTTAAGATAAGAAATGTTCTGAGTTATAGACAAATTTTAGAGCAGTTCCAATTCTCATCAACTCTCTGAGCAAAAAGAAAACATTTTTTGTCTAAACAGAACAAAGTCACCTTTCACTTCTTTTAAGTTCTTGAACTGGTGAGATTTTTTTTTTAACTTCTTCATAAAATCAGCCCAATATCATGTATGTCAACAATGGCATGTCTAAGCGCCAGTTTCTTTACCTCCCATATCTCAAAGACAAAATATCAACCCTGTTTTATAGGCACATTAAACTGAGAATACATGGGCATTTTAAAATGAATGGAAAATAAATTACTTTTGAAACAGTAACTTTGCAGAAGGGTTATATTGAGAATAGAATAGAATAACAAAGTTGGAAGGGACCTTGGAGGTCTTCTAGTCCAACCCCCCTGCTTAGATAGGATACCCTACACCACTTCAGACAAATGGTTATCCAATCTCTTCCTAAAACTTCCAGCGTCAGGAGCTTTGTGGGCTGGCTATTCACTGGAAACAAGGTAACTCAGGGGTTGCTTTCTTCTTGAAAGAAATAACAAACACATCCCTTGAATATTATCCTAGATTCCATCCTTCTTTTCATAGTTCAACTAGTCTCAACACCATGGAATGTTCTGGACAGCTTTCTCTGGACCACCACTTATATATATCTGATCCTGGACAGAAATAATCTGAGGAGATGTTCACGCACAGAAACTGTACTTGATACTACATTTCATTCCTAACACTTTCATTGGCTCCAGAGCAGTGGTGGGCTTCAATTTTTTTTACTACCAGTTATGTGGGCGTGGCCTGGTGGGTGTGACATGGCTTGGTGGGTGTGGCTTGGTGGAGTGGCAGTGGAAGCATACTGCAAAATCTCCATTCCCTTCCCACTCCTGGTGGAAGGCAATCACCGGTTCTCCGAATGACTCAAAATTTCCACTACTGGTTCTCCAGAACTGATCAGAACCTGCTGAATACCACTTCTGTTCCAGAACAGCCATTGCCATTTTCTATACGTAGATCCCTGTGTCATCCCTGAAGCTTTTGAGGATTGTCCCAATCCAGGGACTGCCTAACTCTAAACTACTGTGCAAATCTTCAACATATTATAAGAAAAGCTAAAAGGACAAACTTTTGCCCAAATGCCAAATCACAAACAGCGGTGTTGTTTCTGTCTCAATCTTCCAAGATTTAAAATGTGAAGTCTCCAAGCACAAAAGATTGGCAATCTTCAAAGATTGTCAAGTATTGTGATTATATGTTTAGGTGTACAAGGGTGAGAGGGAGACTATTTTCATTACCCACATTGAAGAATTAGCGTACCCGCAGGATCTTTGATATTCCACAGTGATTTACAAACCACAATTAGGAGTTTGTGTTTTTGTATCTGAATAATTTCATTTGCTACTCCATCTGCTATATCTGGGCTACAAAAAAATCTGGAAAACCATTAGATGGCGGCAAAGAGGTTTTGCTGCAAGTCGAGGTGGGTGTTGTGCTATAAAATCAACAGTGAACCGCGAATTGTTTGTTTCAAAGTGAGTTACACATACATTTGGCATAGTTGAGAAAAATATATACATTCTGTGATCAACCCACAGAAAGTCTGTTTTCTAAAGAAGAAGAAAAAAGGCTGCTATGTATTCAGTTAATGAGCTTAGTTAGCTAATATTTATAAAATCAATTAAGAGAACTCAATTAAGTACGCTCTGATTTTTAACATTCTTCTAAGATCCACAGATTTTTTTTTCTTTTGTACTTTACTGTTTTAAAAGTTCCAGGTACCAAATAATGCACATAATTGAAACTGGAATCATTTTCATCCTTTGGGAGATAGATTCTGGTAGAAATGGAACAAGAACGTCTCCAGGATTTTCTATATCTCTAATGGGCCAACTGAGATGGCATACTTTTCTGTTACATGTTTTGGCAACAAAACCATGAAGATTTGAGGATGGTAGTTCTGTTTACTAAATGGAAAAGAGAGATATCTAATTTAGGGAGGAAAAAAGCTTCAGTGTGGGTGATTCTAAGCATTTTGGTAAACATCTGAAGCCCAGATTGATGTTGAAGTTTTCTATTTAATTCAATGAATTAAATAAATAAGGCAGAAACTAGTACTTAAAGCTGCACATTCCCTGCAATAATTCCTGAAGCACAGTTACTGAAGGGGATGTCAGCTCTTATGGGACCTTAGTTCTTGTTTAGGAAAAGGTTCCATCTACCATTATTTCAAACTTTCAGCTGTCAGATAGTCACTAGATATGAGCCTATGGTTGAGAAAGATAGCTAGTTGGGGGTTATTTCTTTATATTCTAATTGCAATTGCCTAGCGTTGATCAGTTTCCTTTTTAATAGGTTTTGTTCCTGTATTTCCTCTGATTGATCAGTAATACCAGCTGTTATATGACCATTGAATTATTGTGGCTATTTTAGCAGAGTGCTTGTCAAACTGGGACAGATGAGTCTTGCCATGTTTTAGAGCTGGCTCAACATCACTGCTGTTTGGTGACACTCTTACAAGAAAGTCACAAAACTGATGAACCTGCAGGACTGCCTACTCCAGGGAATGCAAGAAAAAAAGAGGTTTGCAAAAGGAACTCTTTCCTCTCTTTTGCTGATGGCTGCTTTCAACTATTAGAATAAACCTATCCGTTATTAAAACATAGGATTCTTCTGGAGGTTTTTAAGAAGAGACTGGACAACCACTTGTCTGAAATTCTATGGAGTCTCCTGCTAGGAGGAACTTGGATCTTCAAGGTCCCTTCCAACTCTATTATCTTGTACTCTATCAATCAGAACCAGCTCTTTCTCTAAGTGCCTTCATCAATGTAGCTTAGAATGTCACTTGTGTTCCTTAAAAAGGCAGAAACTTCTTTCTTTCTTTCTTTTTTTTAACAAATGTTATTCAGTTTTTCACATAAAAACAAAAATCTCTTTTTAGTGGACAACATATTTCCGGGTCATCACCTTTACATACAAATATAACAGCAATTATACGTTCATATATGCATACTTAATTCTATTATTACCTTTTCCATTCCAAATTTTCAGTAAGGAGAGAAACAAACACATTAATTCTAGCCTCTTTCATTAATCTCAATCGAAACATCTTTTTGTTTCATTTCAATTATTTCAAATTTAATCCTTTAATATTTATTTTAAAAATAAAGATAAACAATTTGTGTTTGCCTAATAATAATAATAATAATAATAATAATAATAATAATAATAATAATAATAATATTGGTTGCCAATGTCTCTCTTTGCTTTTAATAGTCTATATTAATTTATTAATTTAGTTGGTTCTTTAGTCTGTCATATTCCCTTCCCATTACACATTCTTGCAGAAACTTCTTTCTATAGACTTAGAATGCCGATCTTTTAAAAAGGCCATGATTTTTAATATTTTGAAATTTTCCTAAAAAGCGAATATCTTCCACTTTAAGGAAGATTTCTTAAATATATATATTTAAGTTTGATTAATTCTTCTCAAATACTACAGAGATCAATAAAAAGAATGGCTCAAGTGCTTCTTGGCTAATCTGGTAGGCCATAAAAGACTGCCTTGCTGCCATGTTCTAGTATTATGGTCAAAAGAAGAAGGAGCTGATAACAACAGAATATCAGGCAGGTAAGTGATGATGTTTTAGAGAAATTTGGGGCGTGATTTTTGGGGACTCTAGGTTTTATTTTCCTGACCTTTGTGTTATATTCTTTAGTTTGCCACAGGATACCAGTAAGAAACCATGCAGCCAAAGTTAACAAGTTGCTATGAGATTTCAGTGGCATGATTCCTGTTAACAAAAGGTTTTCAACCCCTGGATAAAAAAGTGCTGACTGGGAATTATAGGTGTTGAACTCTAACACATTACCTGGACTTTGAATTAGTCCAGAGACATTATTCTTAAGAGGACCTGAATTCATTGAGCACCTGAGAAAAGAATATGCCTATTTTTAGAAAAAAGATAGTAACTCTGTAGGAGAACACATTCAGTTAGCATTTCTACAGAGTCTGTTAGGAAAGTGAGTGGATCAGAAACAGAAAAGTGTCTTCCAGATGTCTTGTTTTGCAGATCTCATAATCTCTTGCCATTGCCCATGTTCATTGGGGCAATGAGAATTGAAGTGGAAAGCCTCAGGAATGTACCAGGTTGCCTACTTCCAACCATAACAAACCAGTAGCTTAATTCAATGCAAGAGAGATTCCTATGATTCTTTTAATGCCAATTCTAAGGTAATTTATTCTTCATATCTTAATACTGAATCATATTCTTAAATTTTATGTAGTATGTATTTGTACATAAGAGGATCTACTTCTTCCAATGACATTCAACTGGGTTTCAGCAATGTTTCATAAAAGTCAGTTCAGTGCTTAAATGCAACCTTTGTTCTCTAAACGCCTCGATCTAGTAGTCACATATGGTTTATTTTCCAGTTCCTGGGAGCTAGCAGACAATGAAAGCCTTATTTATTTTATTTTATTTTATTTTATTTTATTTTATTTTATTTTATTTT